AATGTCAATCGACGTCTCCAGATACCTTGATCTATCCTCTATCCTTCAATTCATCCTTTCCTCTATCACTCTTCTTTGTCCTCGCTCCAACTCTCTGTAACCCCTTACGTGCTAGTGGCGCGCTAGTGGCTTCCCGCCTTGCTTGGGGTGAAACGGTTAAAGAAAAAAAACAAACAAATAAACAATTATGATAAAGTTACTCATGTTTCAGTCACATTTGATTCACGCTGTGCAAGTGACCTCCGTTTTAACGCGCTGATTACCAGTACAACCGTTTCTTTTCAAAACAAGTGATGTCTGTACAACTCGTTATTGAGTGCTATCGATCATGGTAAAAAAAAAACTATTAAGGAGAGAGAACAATAAAAATAAGTGTTAAGAAGACAGATAATGTTTGACACTGAATTTCAATTTTTAAAGAAAAGCAAAAAGCCAGAAGAGAGGGAAAATTGCGATAGAAGAAACTGCCATCATAGAACTTACGGTTATATCAAGCCATTTTTCTTCTGTAGAAGATATTGTTTGTGTCGTTTTTAAATACTAGTAGAAGAGTTTATTCCGAGCTAGTATTCAAAACCCACACAAATAATACATCTCACGCTGTCAAAACACGAAAATTACTAACAACACTAAAACAAAACCCACATTGAAAATGGCTGACGAAGCAGTCGAAAAAGCTTGGAACCATCGACTATATGGACATTTCTTGTACTGCTTCACTCCCACCAAACGGAAAAATATAAGCAATTATCCTTGACCGCCATATTTAAGTAAAAATGTTCAAAAGAAAGGTTGCTACCCAAATATATATTAATATATATTTTTATCACGCCATGCAAGCCACTAAAGCCACTAAGACACAATGGGTGACAGTGTGAAAGAATTAGGAAAAAAAACTGTTGTGACCAAGTAAATGGTTAAAGAAATAACAAAACAAGTGTTGCAGATATATATTAAACAGTAAGTACAACAGAAGAGTATTACACGACTAATGAGAGTGTGTCGGTTGGCCCAGCGTTCAATATACTCAACTGTTATATTTGCCTGCCTCCCTACGAGGTAGGATTTGGCACAAGGCCAAGTTCAATATGGAGCAATCCGAGCCCGTAGGCTCCGCCAAAAATTCCCCATAGACCCCGTATAAAACGGGGTCGGGTAGCTGTTTCCCGAGAATAGACTCTGCCCTTCGACGTAGCCTCGTCTAGGGATCCTCTTTGTCCGGAGGCAGAGAGTTTAACCAGCACAGCTGGAAAAGATCTATTCGACTATTCCCAAAGGCTTTCTCTCCTACTAATCATATAGTAGGCGGAAGAGTCCAACATAGATTCTTTAGGAAGCAACAAATATATATATATATGTGTGTGGGGTACGTATGTATATGTGTATGTGTACTTACATATAAATATTTGTGTATGCTGATTCCTTATAAGACAGTATGTATATATGGAAAGGGAATATACATATGCGGGCTAACAGAAACACGCACGCACACAGGGATAGGGAGACATCTCTCATCAACATATCTATCATCACCACCTATCATGCCAATCCTAATGGTTTTATCATCAATTAAGCAGAAATTCACTTTTGCTAACAGTCCAGAAAGAAGATTAAAGTTCACTAACAAATACGGAAAATGAACAATGAGTCATTAAAAAAAAAACATAAGGAAAATTTATTCCTTTTAAAAATGTATTCCATTTTTTGTCTGAAGAAGGTCACAAGACCGGAAACGCGTGTAGCAAAAATATGAGGAATAATATATAATATATAACAAGTCCACATTACAACCAAAAACGATTGCGTTTTCTCTCTTTTTTAAAATATACATTTTTTTCTTGTTCGTACAACTATAAACTTTTCCATATATATATATATATATATATATATATATATATATAAAACACAAGTTTAGCAACAAGTATACATACATATGAATATATAAGTATATAAACACAAATATTAAAGTAATCCTACACTCGAATCCAGCCTGAAATGTAAATTTTGCAATTCCTTAATAAAAACGCAAAGAAAGAGACCTTTGTTTTCATCTGCCCACTAATTCATAGCTTTCCAGCAAGTAGCAACGTAAAGAGCCTCATTATGTGACTTTATTTGGCAAGAATACAAACAAATGGCTTGTAAATAAGAATTGAGTAAACGATTTTTGCTTCATTAGCAAATGAATACATCGTCAAAGAAAGCAAAAAAAAAGAAACATCTATGGCATTGAAGAAAGTGGAAAGTGAAAGCAATAGATGTTAGTTGTGTGGGTGCAAGTTGGTATTGTGGATTTCATAAAAGACGACTTTAAAAATGAATCGATAAGCAAGTTTGTGGGGGCTGTTATAAATTCGCTACCTATGTCTTTAGGATAATATTAACGATGATTGAAATGATCACTTAAATGCAATTTGCCAATTCAAATCGCAGAATTTTGCTTATTTATTTCTTTCCTAAGTTTTTAACCATTTCAATCGAATCAATGCGATGTTGCCATTTCGACAAAAGGTGTTACTGAGAGTTAAAAAAAAAAGAGAAGACATTTTTTTAAGGGAAAGGACAATGAAAGAACAGGTGTCCGAAAAGACAGAAGATAGCGATTGATATTTTATTTAAATCTTTGAAGATTGTATTGGACATAGACGTAAGAAAGTTTTTAGAATTGAGGAGGGCGAGAAAAAATGATGGAATAAAACGATGAGGCATAATAACGTAGTACGCTAAAATTCATGCAGTCGAAGTAAAAAACAGAGGTTCATTAGAAAAAACACCATGAAATTATTCATAGAAAAGGCAGAATGAAGCAACAATCACGGTTATATGAAAATAAACTGTAGCCGAGGTGCCAGGTCAGGACCGATAACATTTGCAGACCTTATTTGTATTTTGTCGAATACATCGAGATATATAGCAAGAAAACCAGACAGATATGTCAACAATTTTAAGTGTGCTCATGAATTGTAAGATCAGTTTTGACGAGGAAATAGAATTGTGACTTTTTGATGATATCGAATGTTGGAAAAAAATCCCCCCACCCTGGTTGAAATAAGCCATGGAAAGAAAACTTTAATTGAATTTAATTTATAATTGAATTTGAAGTTTTTAGCATCTGTTTTTGAAACATGGTAATTCCTGTGTAGAACGATATTTTTAAATAATAAATTCATAATGTATATATATATATATATATATATATATATATATATATATATATATATGTAACGCAAATCTTGGTAATCCGTATGGATAATCCCAACGAGGATGAAATCAGATGAAGTCAGAGCGAATAATTTATTTTAAAGAAAAACAGACCACTTTAAGGCTCCATTAGTTATAATTTATTTCACCAGAGTATTTTATTTTTCTCTGGATCTTCAGACTTTATTTCAAAGTTGAAAAGAAAAATGAATTTAAAATTTACATTTTTGAAGGGCAGTATATAAGCTTATATAAGGTGACGTAGGGGGTGGTCGAGTTTAGAGAAGGAAGGGTGAGTTTTTAAACTTTAGTTTTACGTTTATTTTTATTATAATGCTTCATATTGAGTAGGAGGGGGTCAGGATCAGATTAAATTGATCTATTTAATCGGTCAACTCAACGGAAATGATACGGGAAAAAGGAAAAAAAAGAGAACAAAAGGGGAAAAGGAAAAATAGTGGGGATGTAAAGGGATAAGAGAGGTACGTAGGGTTTTTGACGGAAGAAGACGGGTGGTATAGCTTTCGCAATTTAGATAAACACAGATTTTAACGTTTGATTGTAATTTAAATGTTTAAAAACTCCACAAAGCTATTTAAATATTATATGTAAATTTATAGAGCATAAATATTATAAATTAACTGATCTAAAATATGTGTTTTTCGCTACACAGTAATAACCATGTTTCAAAAATGAAAGCTGAATCTTCAAATATAATTATATAATTAAATTAAAAGGTTTAGTTCGGTTTCATCTTCAAGCGAATAGTAGATAACTTTTTTAAAATGTACTTATTGTACTTATTTTTAAATGTACAATATTCGCTTGAAGATTAAACGGCACTAATGTTTTTAATTTAATCATATAATTAAATTTGAAGATTTAGCTTCCATTTTTGAAACATGGTTATTACTGTGTAGCGAAAAAAATCATATTTTAAGGCAGTTAATTTATAATATATATATATATATATATATATATATATATATATATATGTATGTGTGTGTGTATATATATATATATATATATATATATATATATATAATCTTGTTTTGTCATATGACTATTTAAAATGGATGCATATGTACTTTGTCCTGAATCCTTCTTACGTATGTATAAAACGACATTTCGTATAATCCCTCCTTCCAACCTACCAGCCATTTACGTCCCTACATATATACATATTTCCCTTACATTAGTTCGGCGACTCTGAGTCGCTGGACTTGCAATGATTGACGTCATTTGAAAAATCAAATCTAGGTTAGGACCCTTGTCCGAATCACTCCGAAGATAAAGATAGCATAATTATTCGCCCAGTAATCTCTCGGCTGGGAGAACATCGCAAACGTGGAATCTCTGGTGCATTTTAGACCAAGCGAATTCTATAACGCTAACCCTTCCGTTCAGTGTCTCTTCTCGCACGGAGACGTCAATGGACAAATCCGGGCGAGCGGCTTTACCCGAGCACATCGTCTTTATATTGGCAGATAAAAATTCCTTTTACACTGTTATTTGTTTATTTTTCATGTCTTGCCTGCCCACTTTCAGTTTAATCTTTCATTGATGTTTATAAGTTACGTTCTTTGCTTAGTTTTGGATTTTTATTTCTACTTTTTGGTTTTGAGAATCATTTCTCCATTTTGTTTTTACTGGTTTCATTTTTCATATTTCAAATGTTTTAATATTTGCATTGTTTATAACATGGACACTATTGTGCGTATATATATATATATATATATATATATATATTTGTGTATGTGTGTGTATGTCTGCGTGTGTATCTATCTTAATCTCTTCTTATGCAACTTAAATCTATCTCTCTATCATTCTCACAGACATTATTTATCTATCTATCTATCTATCTATCTATCTATCTGTTTCAATCTTCTCTATATATTTCAGTCATTGTCTATTTTTTTTTTCTATATATATATATATATATATATATATATATATATATATACAGTTTTGCGTGTATCTTAATCTGTTCTTGAGCATCTTAAATCTATTTCTGTCTCTCTTTCTCACACACTCTTTGTCTATCTCTCTTTATCCGTTTTCTTTTTTGTATGCGTATATATATATATATATATATATATATATATATATATGTGTGTGTGTGTGTGTGTGTGTGTGTGTATATAATTGTGCGTCTGTATATGTGCGAATATATTTCCAAGTATAATATATCTGAATGTCGATATATATCTGTGTATACATATGCATATATGCGTGTATGTATACATGTTTGCATATATATGTGTATATGAGTGTGCATAAAAGCGTGTGTTTATACATGTGTGTATGGTGTAAATATCTATGATATGTTTATTTATATAAGTGTATATACAAATATATGTATATATATATATATATATATATATATATGTGTGTGTGTGTGTGTGTGTGTGTGTATTAAAACTGTGTAAACGCAAGAGATATGTGTGCAGGTAGTCTATGTATCCACTTCAGACTTCTTTATCTATTTCAGACTTACTTATTTGTTTGCCCGTCTATCTATCTATCTATCTATCTATCTATCTATCTATCTATCTATCTATCTATCTATCTATCTATTTCAATCTTATCTATCTATTTATGTAATTGTTTTCAGTCTTCATCTGTCTATGTACCTATCTATCTATTTCATTCTTATCTATCTTTTTAGCTTATGGGGGTCATAAAATTTTCTACCACCAATTAAATCTTTAAACACCCATATATATATATATATATATATATATATATATATATATATATATATATATATATATATATATATATATATTACAATTATTTCTTTTTAGAAAAAGAAAATAATTATATTATACTATATTGTTTGTATAGAGCATTGCTTTTTTAAAAATAGAAATAATTGCTAAGAACTCCAGATTATAAATCTTACTGTTCTTTCTTATTATTTAAATATATATATATATATATATATATATATATATATATATATATATATATATATATATATATATATATAAATCTGTCATTCGATACAACCTGTCACTGTTTTCTCTTACTCTATGCGTCTCCGTTCGTATTACTCTTTCCGATGTGAATCAAAGATGGCTTATGTTCTCTTTGTTCCATATTTTCCTTTTATTTGGCTTCCAGCATCGTCCATTATTCTGGTCACCATCTGTGTGTCTTTGCAACGCGGGATAAGCTTTTACGCCAAAGTCGAGTGGCATCAAACATTCCTCACGTCGCTATTGTTCTTCTATTCCGCCATCTTTCTCTCTCTTGACATCTTTCTTGCAAATTCTATCTCTTTTGGTTCCTATTTACTCGGTCACTCTTGCTAAAGGGTCAACGGAGACCTAGTTCCCTGCTAGGAAATCGTTTCAAATTATTAAGCCCACACACAAATCCGTAGAGAATATATGGGAAATAACAATATTTGTATAAATTCTCTTGTAGGAGGTGAAGTGAATAAATAAGTTGCCTCTGACGTAATTTTCTTTTTTTTTTCTTCTATTTATCTCGTATTTCTACAAAGTCTCTTTTTCTTTTAATTGATCATTGATGTTTTTTCTTTTCTTCTTCTTCTTCTTCTTCTTCTTCTTCTTCTTCTTCTTCTTCTTCTTCTTGTCTCTATAACTTTTCTTTTTCTTTAAATTTTTCATTGATTTCTTTTCTTTTCTTTTTCTTTCGACCTCCTCCTTGTTCTTCTACTTCTTCTTTTCTTCATCTTCTTCTCGGCTTTTCTTATTTCGTCTCATTATCTCTTGTTTCTATACCTTTTCTTTTTCTTCTAATCCCGCATTCAAGATTTTCTGCATTCTTCCTCTTCTTCTTCTTCTTCTTCTTCTTTCATTCTATTATAGTGGAACACACCTATTCTATAGTTAATAGACTCTCCCACCTATAATAAGTAGGAATAGTAAGAGTAACGAGGAGTCGCTCAGTGAGTCTGTCTGAGTTCAGTCTGAAGTCGGACGACTGGATGATCTGTTGAACTCTCTGCCTTCGGGCGGGGAGGAACCCGAAGGAGGCTACGCCGAAGGAGGCTACGCCGAAGGGCGGATTCTCTTTCGGGGAGGTAAACCGGCCCTGAACCCGTATATACGGGTTCAATGGGCATATTTTTGGCCGAGCCCACGGGCTCGGATAGCCCACGTTAAAAAGGCCTTGTGCCACATGACGTCCTCGTGTGAGGGGAGGGGGGTGACTGAATGTCGTCGCTCAGTGGGTCGGTCGGGCTGACCGGCTGATCGGTTGAGCTCTCTGCCTTCCGACGGGGGCGGCCTTGGGCCCGTTTATGCGGGTTCAATGGGCATATTTTTGACCGAGCTCACGGGCTTGGAGATCCCACGTTAAACCGGCCTTGTGCCACATGATGCCCACGTGGGTGGGGGTGACTAAATACCGTCGTTCAGTGGGTCGGTCAGTCAATGGATGCCGGACGACCGTTAGTCAGATACTAAAGTATCAGCGACCACAACTAGATTTCTCTGCGTCATTAACTATTATATCAAGTTCCTAACGTTTTGTACGTCGAACCTATTTTATGACCGACTTAGTAGAAATACAAGCCTCCACTGTGAAACAACCCCATAACATATTCATTCTTTCTTTCTTTCTTTTCCTGCTGTTGCTCCTTTCTTCATTTTTTATATGCCAAATTTCTTTACGATGTACACAACCTGAGCATAATGAGTTTCCTTGATTTAAGAACGTTTTGATCCGTCCTTATCCATCTTTCTGGCTGTTCCCTCTTCCAGACATAAATAAACATTTAGTAGCTTACTCGCTGCTTCATCCTGCTTCGCATGACTACAGTATTTTCTTAGTTTGTCTGCTGCCGATGGCAAAATACTATCTATCTATCTATCTATCTATCTATCTATCTATCTATCTATCTATCTCAGTCTTTTCAAATCTAAGTTTGTTTTTTCTCAACTATCTATCTATCTATCTATCTATCTATCTATCTATCTATCTCATTCTGATCTGCCAATATTAACCTGTTCATATCTATCTCAGTCTGTTCATATCTATCTATCTATCTATCTATCTATCTATCTATCTATCTATCTATCTGTCTGTCTGTCTGCTTATCTATCTATCTATCTATCTCATCTTGTTTGGTTGTTTCTTTCTATATATATATATCTATATGTTTTTTCTATCTATCTATCTATCTATCTATCTATCTATCTATCTATCTATCTATCTATCTATCTATCTATGTTCACGTGTTCCTGTCTATCTATCTCAGCTTCTTTCTTTCTATATATCTATCTGTTCTTTCCATTTATATATGTATTTTCACATGTTCACATCTATCTATCTATCTATCTATCTATCTATCTATCTATCTATCTATCTATCTATCTATCTATAAAGTCTGTTCAAATCTGTGTCCGTCTTGTTCTCTTCATCTACCTCCCTACCTACCTACATACATACATATCTATCTATATATCTATCTATCTATCTATCTATCTATCTATCTATCTATCTATCTATCTATCTATCTATTCTTTCCAATTGTCTAATCTTAATGCTAATATAAAATTCAAGACCGGTTCCAAGATCATCATCTGGTGTAAATTACAAAGATAAATTTATTGTAACTGTGATGAAATCTGCATTGCATTGTGATTGTCATGAAAAAAAGCAGGTGCAAATCCACTATATTTAATATTTTTTATTTACCTGTTTAAATTATGGAATTGTATGCAAAACAACCGTTTCAATACAAAGGAGTTGACTGGAAACTGGTAGAAATCTAAAATGGCATTATATGATAGATGCACTTTAATATGTTGCTGCTATATTCGTAATAAATTTTGTTGAGTGTTGATCGGTTTTGATATAGAGGACCTCGAGTAATTGAGGTTATTGTTTTTAAAAATCCCCATCAAAACACAATGCAAATTATATATTTGTATATTCCAATCTATTTTCACGTGTTTTCTATCTATCTATCTATCTATCTATCTATCTATCTATCTATCTATCTATCTATCTATCTATCTCATCTTGTTTCTTTCTTTCTTTCTATACATCTATCTATATGTTCTTTCTATCTATGTATTTTCACATTTCTACATCTATCTATGTATCTATCTATCTATCTATCTATCTATCTATCTATCTATCTATCTATCTATCTCATTCAGAGCTGCCAATATTAACCTGTACATATCAATCTCAGTCTGCTCATATCTATCTATCTATCTATCTATCTATCTATCTATCTATCTATCTAAGTCTTTTCATTTATATGTCCGTATTGTTCTCTTCATCTATCTATCTATCTATCTATCTATCTGTCTGCTTGTCTATCTATCTATCTATCTATCTATCTATCTATCTATCTATCTATGTTCACGGGTCCATTCTATCTATATCAGCTTCTTTCTTTCTATATATCTATCTGTTCTTTCTATTTACATATGTATTTTCACATTTTCACATTTTCATCTATCTATCTATCTATCTATCTATCTATCTATCTATCTATCTATCTATATCAATGTTCACGTGTTCATATCTATATATCTATCTCAGTATCGATATTTTGATAACGCTTAAGTTGGGTATAGCTCAAAACTGGTTAGGATTTCGTAAAATCAACAACGCAAACCTCAAGATCGTTTACTCCATCAATAATGGCAATAGCAATATTTGATAATGGAGACAGACATTTCAAGAAAGGCCACATAGTCACTAAGACGCAGGGGACCAATGAGCACGAAAGAATATAAGAAAAATAAAGACATTATAAAGGAACGAGAACAACAAAGAACAAAAATGACGAAGACAGAAAATTGAGATTTCATTTAAATCTTTGAATATGAAAATGTATTTAAAATCTATAAACCGGAAGATATTTCCACAGGGGAGAAGTGCGATAGAAGCAACTGTTACTATAGAACTTACGGTTCCATCTAACCATCTGTTCATCAGGCAACGTATAGAGGAGTTGCCTTTCGAAGGTTGGAAATTGACAGTTAGGACCAATAACACTGCAAATTCTAATTTGGATAATTACCCTTTAATTTCCGATAAAATTAAAATCAGAAATTTCAAATTTCAAATTAAATAGAGCATTAGGTTTGAAATATTATAAAGTTATTCAAAAATGGAACGGAGGAAGAGAAGTATATATATATATATATATATATATATATATATATATATATATATATATATATATATATATATATATATATATATATTTCTGTAGTTTACTGCTACCAACAAACAGACATATTTCTCCTCCCAATGATGGCCATGTTGGGTGAAATTAGTCTAGGAATCTAAATGAAATAATAATAAAAACAACGAAAGAATATTAATCTACAACCCAGTGTGTCTGAAGATTTTAATTTTGATATTTTTTATTGTTCAATATATATATATATATATATATATATATATATATATATATATATATTATCTTTATTCTTATTTAAAGGCCAATATATCCTGTAAAATCAACGCTGACGTGAAAAGTATACATGAACGCTACAGATCTCAGCCGACGTCATTTTGTTTGAGATCTGTTTAATCTGATTGTAAATTAAAGGTTGCTTATTTCATACTGATTTTTGGTTTGATATATCATTAACTTTAATCGGCTAATGCTCTGTATTTAGAATATACCGTCGGTTTTTTTAATTTTCATATACTTGTATTCTGATTGGTCATCATAGGTCACGTGTTGAGGGGGGGGATGATTTAGTTTTGAATTTTCATATACTTGTATTCTGATTGGTCATCATAGGTCACGTGTTGAGGGGGGTGATTTAGTTTTGAATTTTCATATACTTGTATTCTGATTGGTCATCATAGGTCACGTGTTGAGGGGGGTGATTTAGTTTTGAATTTTCAAAAATAAGCCTTTATTCCGCAATCTATGTCTTCACTTGTCAATATATATATATATATTCTTGGTTCTTAGGGAATGTGGTGACTTCCAGGAGAATGAGTGGCTCGTTGAGACTTCTAGGGCTGACATTTTTTGCTGGCATGAAGTGCTCGGTCTGCTGCTATGAAGGTTGTTACATATATATATATATATATATATATATATATATATATATAGATAGATAGATAGATAGATAGATAGATAGATAGATATAGTTTTAAGGTGTGGTATATTTATGGCATAAAGTGCTCAATATCAGAGATAGAGCGTATGTAAATATCAATATAAGAGTGAACGTTGAAGTCAGCAGTGAGGCGAGAGTCTGTTTCATGCTAGACGCAATCGTCAGGCCGCGTAACGATTGCGTATAGCGTATATTCGGTGTCTTGATTTGCAAATAATCAATCCCATACCAAAGGGGGGAAAATGTATACAAAAAGAAAGAACCAAGATCATGTACGTTAGCCGAAAGAAATCGTCTAGCATGCAAGTCCAAAGCCCAAAAGAAAAAAAAAACAATACGCGTAAGCACAATAACTAAATAAAGTGCTCAATACAATGAGGAGAGCAGACCTTGTTTAACCTAGAGAGCCAGACAAACGTTCCAAGGTTTCACCTAAGTGGATCGTCAGGAAAGTTTGGATAAAAAAACGGAATACTTATAATCAATAAACAAAAATCATAACCACGTGACCAAAAAACAAAAAATAAACAAAAATACAAACATATATATATATATATATATATATATATATATATATATATATATATATATATTCATAACAACAGACCTAACACTTCATTCCAACAAAAAGTGTCAGCACGAGAAGCCTTAATGTGCCACTCTCTCTCCTGGAAGTTGCTATCTTCCCTACAGTTGAAATCGTCTTGGATTTCTTTCTTGCAGGCGAGTAGGTTTTTTTTCCCTTTTTTTTGTGGATTTTTTCTTTGTCCCTGTTTCAAAGTGATGAACATAACACTCATCCTGGGTTGGGAAACGTGCAAGGAAACCAGCTGAATCTGCCTCAGATAAAATCAGATTATACCATAATGCGATCAGCCTGGTGCGCTTTTGATTAGGTGTCAGAAGACGTGACACCCAGCGACCAGAAACCTTCATCATGCCAAGTTTATTATGCAGAATATTCTTAACTCTCTCAATGCATATGCTAATAGCATTAGCTATTTGATTTATAGTCAATCGCCTGTAATCCATCAGGTTTTGTGAACGCAAACAAGTTTTCTTCGGTGTCGACAGTTGCAGGTCTTACAGATCATGGATCATCTTTAAGACTACCCTTCCTCTACTAAATTCAGTTGCCCACTTTTGTACTGCTGATAAACCTGGGACATTACCTCTTAATGTAGCAATCATCTCAGCATGCATGTCCTCGGGAGTTAAGACCTTTTTGTGCAGGTGTTTGGTAACACCACGATGCCAAATTTTGTCCAATTTCAAGAGAAGTCAATGCTAATCTGATTTAAATTCTTCTTTGCACAGTCAGATATCGGTTTATCTGGAAGGTGAGAAATGCAGTTATTAGTAAGAAGAGCCGAATTTAATGCATTCTAGATTTTATAGGACTAGAATCATGTCTTCATATTCAGCCTATGAACTATTTATCCCATCCTCTTAACTAGGAAGAAAAAAATGCAGCTATTATTAAGATTTGAGATGAATGTATGCAAGATTTCACAGCTCCAGTATCACTCTTTCATAGTCAGACTATGAACTTTTCAGCCGACCTTCGTATCTGTAAAGAAAAAATGCAGTTATTAATAAGAATAGTTGAAATTAATACATGCAAGATTTCAGTATTTACATTAGTCGGACTATTGTCCTCATCTTTGTCGCCATATTTGTCACAACGTTTCGGCCGTTGTACGCTCCGGCCTTCTTCAGGTGGTTGGAATTTCGAACTGAACCCTTTATTTCGATCGCTGGGGCAGACTGTTCTAATTCACGTGCCATGTTTGATGGATGTCAGTTATCAGTTTTCAGGCCGCCCCTCAAAGGTAAGGCTTCAAGAACACCAGAAAGCTGTAACGCGAGGGGAAGTAGAAAAATCAGGCGTGATTGACCACATATGGAGAGAGAAGGGGAGATCACCGCCCCCTGTGGGATCATGTTGAGATCATAGACAGGGAACACCATTGGAAAATTCGTAAATTTAAGGAATCAGCACATATGCTAGGCCAAAAAATCTCCTGAGCCGACCAAGCATAAGAAATAAATACAATATGGGGAACCAGTATTAAGGAGTGCCAGAGAAAGCAATGATAACATTTTTGCAATATGAACTCTGGTAAAGACAGACAATGATAACAGCAAAAAATTGCAATATGAGCACTGGTAAAAAATGATGAAAACATTGGGTTTATAATACTCAGAAGTTCATACCCAGATGTCCTCAAGGACACATGGCACAGTGGATAAAGGCGTTGGTTAGATCCAGTGACAGACCCAAAGAAGGTGAGTTCAATTCCTGGTTAAGGCAGTGGAGAACTTTCAGAGGGAAAATTAGCAGGAGATAACTGATAACTGACATCCATCAAACATGGCACGTGGAATTAGAACAGTCTACCCCAGCGATCGAAATAAAGGGTTCAGTTCGAAATTCCAACCACCTGAAAGAAGGCCGGAGCGTACAACGGCCGAAACTTTTGTGACAAATATGGCGACAAAGATGAGGACAATAGTCCGACTAATGTAAATACTGTACATAATACCTCATCTCAGAAATATAGACAAACTATGCAAGATTTCACAATTCTAGCGTTACTCTTTCATAGTCAGCCTATGAACTTTTCAGCTCATCTTTGTATCTGGAAAGAAAAAATGCAGTTGTTAAGAAGAAGATTTGAAATTAACGCATACAAGATATCACAACTCTAACATCAGTCTTTCCTCGTCAGCCTATGAACTTTTCCTCGTCAGCCTACGGACTTTTCCTCGTCAGCCTACGGACTTTTCCTCATCAGCCTACGAAATTTTCCTCGTCAGCCTATGGACTTTCCTGGTCAGCCTACGAACGTTTCAGCCGCCCTTCATAAGTTGTGGATCTATACCCCAACGTCGACAGCTACTTCAGCTAGTAGTAATAACAAACAAAGCTTGTTGGACAATTTAGAGATAAACTACCGTGAATTTGAAGTGTAGGTGGATGAGTAAACTGTCATGCAAATGCTACAGGTTTGATTAAATAAAACCACAAATAATGAGAAAAGACTTAACATTTTCTCCGGATTCAAAATATTTTATTTTTATCCCCCCCCCCACCTCCATAAAAAAATTCGAAAAATAAAGGAAAGAAAAACTTATATGAAAAGAAGGGAAATTAAAGAGAAATAAAAACTTGCACCACCAACCAAAGAAATTCGTATGAAACAAGCGGAAGAATGAAAAATAAAGAATTGAAAAGAGACATTGAAATGATACTAACGAAACAACAAGGTGATTTGGTCTTAATTTGCACAGCCTCAATTATTGACAATGGGGAGCGTTTGTTTCGCAATGGCGACGTTGATAATGCTGCATTGCTAATCAAAAAGAAAAAGAAGCAATGAGTGAATGGCTGAATTCAATAATATAGAACGAGATGAGAAAGAAAACTAAAAAGAAAGAATTAAGAAAGGAAGATGAGAGAAAAAGAAGAAGGAG